GCAGAATCTCTTCATTTTCCCCGGGCAGCGCGGTCAGCTCGGTCAGCCCTCCGCCATCTATAAAATCCTTCTCCTCCTTCAACTCCGTAGGAAAAGTTACGGTCAGCAAAGAGCTCTGCAGAGAAGAAGAAGAAGGAGGAGAGACCAGAGGAGACGAGGGAAGAAAAAAAAAATAAAAGAAGCTCGTTCCCCCCCTCCCCTCTCGCTCTCTTTCTCTCTCTACCTTCAGCTGACCGTACAATCCCCAACCTATCCCGAATCGATGGGGTTTGAAAATGGGGAAATTAGTATAGGGAAGGAGAAGGCTGGGATCGGATTAGGGTTTCGGAGTTTGATGAGGAGGAAGCAGGTGGATTCTGATCGAGCTAGGGCTGGGAGCGGTCACCATAAGCTCGCCAAAGAATTATCTATTCTTCAGCTAATTGCGATAGGTATTTCTTTAAAAATTGAAATTTTCCGATGATTTTGGTGTTATTTGTTCTTGTTTTATATCTTATCCTCAAAGAATCTATCGAAATGCTTGTTTTTATCTAAGAGTTTGATGGAAAACTAGATTAATCTATCGTACTTGCTGGATGAACAAATTGTTGTATGAATTGATTAATAGTGAGAATGAGCAATGTTGCGTCATTTTGTTGAAGTTTGAACAAATTGAATTGGTCTATTTGGATGCCACGCCATTCTTTTGGTGGAGTGAAGCCTTCAAATACTTCATCAAAGTCAAAAGTTCTTAGCTTTAGACCCTTCAGGTGTTGTTATCCTGAATGCTTTACACTAAAGATTTCTAATTTAATTAATTTATTTATTTTACATTTTTTGACTGATTTGTTTAAAATTCTTCCTATAAGACCTCTGGTACATTTTTACAGTGGTCTACTATTGATCTTAGCACTGACAGAAAAATCTTAGTTCTTATTTGATCTGAGTTTGCCATTAAGGCCACATTGTTAACCTCATAAAGGGGTTCTTGTTTCTTGTTAGTGTCTACCGTCTCAGCTCTCACATGTTAATTCGATTGTTTATCTCAGGTGTCGGCTCGACGATAGGAGCCGGAGTTTATGTTCTTGTTGGAACTGTTGCTAGAGAACATTCAGGACCAGCTCTGACCATTTCCTTTTTAATAGCTGGAATAGCTGCCGCGCTTTCAGCATTCTGTTATGCGGAGCTTGCCAGTCGTTGCCCTTCTGCAGGGAGCGCCTATCATTATTCATATATTTGTGTAGGGGAAGGGTAGGCATCTAAATCTTTACCATATTAACATTACTCTCCATTTACGTTACCATGATACAAATGATTGCCAATATCCAGTAAAACATTTAATTGTTTCAAAAAAGATTTTGGTCACTAGAAAGGCAATGCATAGATATGTCAATAAAGATACACATGTTTATGTGATGCAAGTAGTAATAAAGTACTTTTTTCCTTCAGTGTTGCTTGGTTGATTGGTTGGGCCCTTATTTTAGAGTACACAATTGGTGGATCGGCTGTTGCACGAGGGATAACCCCAAACTTGGTATGTTGAGTTCATTACAATTCCTGCACCCACACCTTGCGTTGTATGACATTATCTGATACAAGTAGTTGTCATGAATTTTAGGCAATTACTGATTAGAGTTGCATGAGCTTATACAGCAAGGCAAAATACCTTGTGTGCTATATTTGTCCTCACACAATGCTGAACAAAATCTTATCTTCCTTTTCTGAAAAAAAAATCATCCTTAGAAATCAATAGCCTGCCTCACCTTCTGTTAGATGTTAAATATTGCTGGATTCTTCCTGAAACCATGTGATATTTTGTTCATTTGACAACTATCTGTAATCATCTCCACGATATCAACTTTGTGTGTTAAAAATCTTTTCCCTGTTGTCTTAGGCATTGGCTTTTGGAGGACCAGACAGTTTGCCTTTTTTCCTAGCACGTACTCAAATTCCAGGGCTTGATATAGTAGTTGATCCATGTGCTGCAATTCTGGTGTTTATAGTTACAGGCCTGCTATGTGTGGGAATAAAGGAGGTATGGATGTTTCTTTCCTGCAAAACTTTCTCTATGTCATTACTTCTATATGCTAATTGTAACCATTATCTCTGCAGAGTACTTTTATCCAAGCTATTGTCACAGTTTTAAATGTCTGTGTCATGTTATTTGTCGTTATTGTTGGTGGATATATTGGTTTTAAGACTGGATGGGTGGGATATACTGTCTCAAGCGGGTAAGCATTCTCGAGTCTGAAGTCATCCTGCTCTTCAGTTTTTCTTGTGGACACTAATTAAGATGACACTAATTAAAATTCTTTGTTTCTTTCAGATACTTTCCTTATGGGATCAATGGAATGCTAGCCGGATCAGCTACGGTTTTCTTCGCATACATAGGTTTTGATTCGGTTGCTAGCGCAGCTGAGGAGGTAAGATGATGCATTAGCTACAAGCCTTTCATGAGTTTGTGTTGGAAAGTTACCGATTGATTGTTTAGAAAATTAGAAGCTAAATGGAACTTTGTCGCTAATTATTGTTTTGATATAAAAAGTGGTTCTTGATTTATATCTTTGTTATAATGTTCTTGTAGGTGAAAAATCCTCAGCGTGATTTGCCATGGGGTATAGCATCGTCTTTGTCCATATGCTGCTTCCTCTATATGATGGTTTCTGTTGTTGTGGTTGGCCTGGTACCATACTTCACTATGGATCCTGATACCCCAATTTCATCTGCATTTTCTAAACATGGCATGCAGTGGGCAATGTAAATCGACTGTTCTCATTTAATATTTTGTGAATTTTATACTGTTAAGTGTGTTGGTATTAACTTCTGATGTTTTCACTATAGGTACATTGTTACTGCAGGAGCTGTTCTTGCTCTCTGCTCAACTTTGATGGGCTCACTTCTGCCACAGGTACAAAAATATATCTAATGACCAGCGAGGTTCAATTTAATTGGCCCTTTATTGTGACTTCATTTCAAGCAGGCTTCTCAAAATTGTTGGCTTGGATATAAGAATGCAATCTGAAAATGCAATTATCTTTGTTATGCTTTTCTCAGCCTAGAATATTAATGGCGATGTCTAGAGACGGATTACTGCCCCCTTTTTTCTCAGATGTCAACAAACACACTCAGGTCCCTGTTAAAAGTACGATTTTGACTGGAATCTGTGCAGCAGCCCTGGCTTTCTTCATGGATGTTTCACAGTTGGCTGGAATGGTAAGAGTTTGCTATAGTGTTTATTTAATTTTTTTTCCTTAAATAATTCCTGAAGAAAAATCTTTTGACATTGGAGAACTATTAAATGGAAAAATATGAATGAATAAAGTTCTATGTCCGTTTATGATATGAAGGTGGGTAAAAACTGGTCAGGATGATAATTGAGTGTGTATAATATTTGTGCAGGTCAGTGTGGGTACACTTCTCGCATTCACCATTGTTGCAATTTCAATCTTGATCCTTAGATACGTTCCTCCAGATGAGGTGCCTCTGCCATCATCACTTAAAGAGTCAATTGATTCGGTAACATTTCGTTACGGTATTCAAGAAAAAGATGAGGGAAATTCTAAAAATCTTAGTGGAAAGAGTATTGAAAATGGTCCAGAGGAATCATTTGAGTATCCTCTTATTGTGAAGGAAGATGGATCTGGTACTGACTAGGAAGTTACTTAGTCTTCACAACTGTTTTCATTTATAGCTGCAAATACCCTTTGCAGTCGAATCTGCTTGAAGTTTGTTATGCTATCTTTTGCAAGGAAGACTGATATTTTGAATCCTGCAGATAAACTGAACGAACAGAAACGGCGAAAGCTTGCAGCATGGAGCATAGCATTTGTGTGCATTGGAGTTTTCATCCTCACTTCTTCAGCATCAGTTACATTCTTGTCTGTGTAAGTTAGTTGCTATAGCCGTCTGTGCATTGGAGTTTTCATTCTCACTTCTTCAGCATCTGTTACATTCTTGTCTATGTAAGTTTGCTATAGCCTTCTGTCAATGATCATGCTCCAACAATTCCTACAGCGCAATAATTGATCTTTCATGTTTGATATATGGTTTAGTTGCCAGTTGAAAAGATAAGTCTTTCTTTTCCTCTCTCTTCAGACAATTTTAGATATTCAATGAACTTATGATATATTTCATGGAGTAGTCAATAATCAATTCTATGATTGTTACAAGACCAGATCTGGAATAGCTGAACAAAATAAAGGAGAAAAAGATAGCAAGAAAAATTTACATAGTTTGCCTATGTTCAGTCAAGGCAAGAGACCTAGCGCATGTCTGAAGAGACCTTATTAGATGAATTACAAGAGGCAACTCCCACTTGATAGGGGATATTCTCATGTCTGAAGGTCTATAAATGGCGTTTTCTAATTTCTATCCCCCAAACTCTAACCAACCTTTGTATGAATGCTCGATGTACCCAATATGACACCTAGCGCACCTTCCGCTGCACAAGAATCCATTATTGTGGGAATGAAGATAAATGCAATTATTGTGTAGAAAAATGACAAATTGCCTTACACTGTTATTACTTGATTATTTCTTGTTCCCAAAATTGAGGGTACATTTCTGTTCATTCTGTTTTCTGAACCATATGTAATTATTCAACACTCTGAGTGATTCCCATTCACGGTAATTATAGATAAGCTGTCTCCGTCTTTTCCAGAACTGTGGGGAATTATTAGGCAAGGTTCACATGCTAAAATGTATAACCACTTCTTAATCTTTCCTTCTCTCCAATAAAACCGGTGTTCATGAGTCTATAATTTCCCATCCATAAGTGATGCTCAATGTATATTGATTCTGGTTCTTATTCTTGTTTCAGCTTGGTACAATATTCGTCATGCGCTTTTGGTGGCTTTCTCCTTTTGGGAAGTCTGACTGCACTTACCTGGATCGAGCAAGATGATGGTCGGCACAGTTTTGGACATGCTGGAGGTACTCGTTAATTCCATTGAAAATCTTTGACCTTATTAGTTGAGCTTGCAAAGTTAATGATTGCTGCATGAGTTGAACAAGTAACAATGTGAGTTATGGCTCTTCTCCAGGATTCATTTGCCCTTTTGTTCCACTTCTGCCAATCTGTTGCATCCTCATAAATGTGTATTTGCTGATAAATCTTGGGTGAGTAGTTAAATTCCTTTTCTTTCTTATGCTATATATTTCAGTTTGCAGTTGTGTTAGAATGTGCCTTACTTGAATGCAAAGAGACTTTGCGTTTATTTTAACTGAAATTATTGTGAGATTTCTTAGGGCTACATAAACAATACGCAGTCAGAAATATGAGTAAAACAGTGCTGCAGTCATGAATTCGAAATTGAACTCCATAAGAGAATTGAGGTCAATGACCTTATTTGTCTTCTCCAAATCATCTGCATTCATAGTAACTCAATGCAAATCATTATTTTTCCTACAAAATCCAGAAATTACAAGATTTATGTGAATTTATGCGTAGGGGTCTAAACTAAAAGAAGCATCTTAACCGATAATTCTGTAAAAACGGCTGCACACACTGTCCTTCGAGATTAGATTCGATATAGTTAATCTAATAACATCTAATGCGTTAAATTCCCTATTTGCCAGAACTGGAACTTGGATACGTGTTTCAATGTGGCTACTGGCCGGAGTTTTTGTGTATTTGGTCTATGGTCGGAGCCACAGCTCATTAACCGATGTAGTATATGTTCCAGTGGCCCATGCCGATGAGATATATAGAACTTCTGCAGAATATGTGGCTTAGCGCTGCAACGGTATTTATGTACAATTCCTTGTTGTATCCTTGTCGTTGCCTCTATATTATGGTTGCCAGGGGCAAATTGACCAGTCTATGATTGAATACAGAGAATATATGCACAACAGTGCATGCTTCTCGTCGTCAAGGTGAATGTAAATAGTTTGAAGAAATGTCAGCAAATGCTGAGATTGTTGTTGTCTGCTGGAAATATTTTATGGATTCAATTATTATTATTGGCTTCAGTGAAATGAGATGTGCTCCAATTTTAAGTGGGCCTGTTCATTTTGTATAAATTTTTAGTACATCTTGCTTATTTGCTCCTGTAACCTGTTCGTTCTGTAGCATCTCTAAGTTTAAATGTTTACGTTTGTTGACTCATATTTTGTTTTGGAAACTACAATGCTTTAAAAAAAAAAAGTACACGCGAGCCACAGTAGGCTATTGAGTTAGACACCTTTCATCTTGTTAGTTTTTGCACTGGCGCTAAACAGAAGGAAAATAGAAACTATAAGGGCTTAACAGACTAAAATAACGTATCGAGAGCCTAATAGAAATGCAAGGTAAACCTCTATCTTGAGTTCAAGCTTCAAGTCTAACAAACTGAAGCTCACACGCGAGGTAAACTCAAGGGCACAGTATTGATGTATCTAGTAGCAAATTAGATCGCTACAATAACACAAATGACGAGCCAGTAGAATGTTTTAGTTACTTGGAATTTAAAAAAAGGGGATTTAGATCCTCTCCAATCAGGTAGTAATTGAAGATCCTTCAATTTCTCTAATTAGTACCATATATTTCAAATTCAATAGGCAAGATTATGCCACGTAGGATTCCAGTAATGAGGTAGTAATTTTTCAGAGAATGATAGTTTTCAAAAAAAATAGTGGTTTTCAAGAGCATAGTAGATCTATCTCGTGGCTTAATTTCATCCATTGAATTCGAAGTATACGAGAATGATTGGAGGAATTGAAGACTCATCGAATACCTCCTAATTGGAGAGGATCCGGATCCTAAAAAAGAACTCCTTCCAGCAATGAGCAAATACATCAAGATACGCGTTTTAAGTTGGGCCGATAAGAAACTGAAAAACAGATAAACTGGAAAATAGCTCGAGTCCAATCCAATCCAAATGGGTCAGTTACAATAAAGAAGGTCACTGCATTTGCATATACACTCAGTAGCCAGAATCATAACTATAAAATTCTCTATTCCGCGACCCAAAATTAATATAACGTGTAACATTCTGATACAAAATGTCGGAGGACAAATTTTTACTAATTTTCGATGAGTTGGATTCGGAAGAAAAATCGAACATATCCCTATAACCAATCAAGAGAAGCCAAAACATATGAAGGAAAAAATCGATCAAAATAATCGGAAAATGAAGCGGGGCAAACTTACCCATTATTTCGCCATCGCCCGCGAAAAAGGAGAAACGGGAGAAAGTTTGGAGAAGGACAGCCGATTTGGGTTACGATATACTTTGGGGCTTCAAGTGTCTCCAAAGCCAAAGCCCAGGCCTGGCCTGCTACTCATAGCCACCATAGGACATTAGAAATGTTAGGGGCACACCCCAAGTCACACTTCCCCCTCTCATTCGTTACAGTACTCCGGGCCCCACATGAGTTTTTAAAATTTAAAAACTCATGTGATAGCGCGAATGAGAGGTAATGTGTGGTTTGGAGTGTGCCCCTAACACCACTCATAAAATATAACATTTTCTCGTAAATTAACCCAAAAATTAAAATAGGATCATCGCATTTTTTTCGTTGTTTTGGAAACGGACTAAATATTTGGCACTAAAATTTCACTGGAATAACCAGTGCTATATAGATTGATGAGCTTGCATACAAAATACTAAAAGAACAAGTTTTTTTTTTGGAGATACTTAAACATCAAGTAATTCTAAGTAATTAATATCAACTATATATTTTGGAATGATTTTTTTTGGCAGATAGTAGGACAAATGAACTGGTAACTTTTTTTTGTTAAATAAAAAATGACCGTATGAATCTTCTCCACTTCGCTTCCTCGGTCTATAAAGTCACGCGAGGATAAATAAAGATATCACATTACTTCATAGAACATTCATAATTCAAGCCTTAGCAGCATATGCAAATAATAAACTATGCAAGTCACTAGTAATTTTTACCCGCTACAAGATCTCTAATAGACATGCAAATCTCACAGAAGCATCGGAGCGCCAAAGAAACCTAGAGGGTGCTGACAAGGATAACATAAGTTAAAACGACCACAAAGCCAGAAAAGATATAGTTTCATTCATTAGATTACAATTTTCTCATGGCTATGTCACTCAAAAAATAAATCCGTGCATTGCTCGATGCAAACACAAGTCAGATAGATCTCTCTTATACCATGATAACCTGCAGGAAGAAGAAAGAATTTTATCAATAGACGAAATACCAAATATATCTTTTTGGAGGAAAGAGAAAGTACCTGAGAAATGCCTTGCAAGTTTCAGAGGGCTGAACTGGTTACCCAAATGTTGCAATGAGGAAGCCCTTGTAGATACTCATGAATTTCGCTACGAAGGCTGTCACAAGCATAATTAGGATAAACAAGCATTTCGAAATTTGAGAAGAGACTTAAATAAGTTGAATGCATATATTATTTATTATAGGGTTAATTTCTAAAAGGTTTGTAAGTTTGTAATCATCATCATGTTTGACAAGAAAAACTATTTCAAATATGCAGTTACCATCAGAACTCTGTTTAACATCAGTACGATCTTTTCTACTTCATTAGAATTAAGATATTGCTCGGGACTTTTTCCTTCATTAAACAACTCCAGAGATTTTCTTAAAGAAGTTTTGCTTTCATTTCAAATTCTGTAGCCTGCCGGATGAACTCAAAGATAAGAACCTAATGTTGGCATGTGAGGGAGAAGCTGTGCATTAGAGTTGACGAAGCCTAAAACTGGCTGAAGATGGGTTTTACTTCTCAAGGGACCTTCTCCAATTCATTTAAATTTAAAAAGTTAAATGTCATAAAACAACAAAGCCACCAAAAAAAAAACTAGCTTTGAACCGGAATGCCATCCATGATCTAAGATGTTCCATTTCATTATCTTACGTTCCCCTCACAATCATCACTACAACCCGGTAAGATAGTAAAACAGATATCCGTGTAATTCTAAGTGCAGAAATCTTGTAAAAGCTAATGATGCACAAATTATTTTGTGAAATTGAGTCCTATCAAACATCCATCACAGGCAAACTGGACATGATAGTTCTTGATTCTTATTGTTGCTATTGTGTATGCTATTTTAAAATTTGATGCACGTCTTGATGTCTGCTTTTAGATCGCAAGTATTTCATTAGATATGTTATAACAGGCGTTAAAAGTAACAATGAAGTACCTTCTATGTGAAATATGGCCTTTTGCCCAAGACACATCCTGTGTTCCTGCAACAAGCATAAAACGAGCTCAAAAAAAGATAACACGGGGGGGAAAAAGCAAGATTTACAAGAGAGTAAAGTTACAAGAGTGAACAAACAGTCCCCCACCCCCACCCCACCAAACAAAAAACAAAAAAAAAATCCCTCCTTTTTCAGGGTGCTGATGTTAAAGATTAGAAGCATAATCATGCCAAATATAAAGCTGAATAGTTGTTTCAGCTTGCTTCAGTCAAGGCACATAAATCCTTGAAAAATAAATATCTTCAATGTACTCGTTATTTACAGCTTCATTTGATATATTTAATTCTTCCAATGTGAGAGCACGGCTACAGGCTACCCAATGTGCTTCCCTCGAATTCTTCTCAACATGTCTATTCAAAATTTTCTATAGCTAGTCCAAATAGAAAAGACAACATTATTTATAGTTCAATACACAAACAAGGACAATAGGAAAACAGAAAAAGGAACTTGAATGAAAAGCATTAATATTTAACAAGAGATGATCTATCTAATATGAAGATGATAAGCAAAGGGCGACACCAAAAGTTTAGATGTGTCATATGACTAATTAGCCTAGTGAAATTGATGCTAATATGGTTATGGCGTAAGAAACGGTGCTAGAGAGGTTCACCTGCAAAATTTTCTTTTTCCATCAAATAACTTTTACTTAAACCTTTTTGTTTAATAATAATCAGCTTAACACTGAAGTGAAGAAGCAAGGTGTAACTAAATTATCCTAAATAAATGGAACAAGAGCTACAATTGCAAGGAGAAAACCAGCTGTTAGACATAGTAAGTGATCCACCATACTTACATAGTATGCAGCCCAATGACAAATTTCATGCTTCAATTCAGAGTCTAATTTTTTCAATAACTCTGACAGCAATTTCTGCAAAAGCTGAACAATGTGAGAATCACTTCAAGAGTTTAATTCTAGAAATGGACTGCCTAGAACCTTATCCTTTCACCTTTAGAATGATTTGAGGAGGGATGCAATTGACAAGCAGCTCATATAATTTTCCACGAACTAAAAACAACCTGAGAACATATAATGAACAAGGAGTTATAAAGTGGACAATTGAAAATTTAAAATAAAAATATAGCAACAGATGCCATCAAAATGCAACTAGGATAAATAAGATAAAACTTTTTAAGAAAGATAAAATAAAATAAATGAAACCAGCAAACATAAACTAGGAGGGAACTTCAAGTTAGTTTTGTACTAAGGCCAGACTAAATGACTACGAAACCCACATACACTAGCTTGCATTACATGATAGTCAGACAGCAAGAATCACTTGTCCTTTATCATGATCAAATGTTTTGACCAAAATTTTCCATGATGTAAATTGTGAATCTAAGCATAATATCATTTTCATCCGCCTATTTACTGCCTACTTGATGCACAGAGAAAATCTCTCTCTGTACGGACAAATCATTACCAGTCTCTGTCTGCCTGCCTGCATGCATGCATGTGGCATGTATGCATGAAGGATGCATGTAGCAGAATATCATATATGCATGTTGAACATATGAAAATATCAAATGAATTTTCTTCGATGTGCCAAATTGCATATTTTCATCATCTTTCTACCAAGTATAAAGGAAGAATCTGCATATTTACCAAAAGGCTTATCAGGGTCCTAAAGAAGACTGTTTGCCTTGATTCAGATGCTAAAAGATTCTAATCCATCTACACAAACTTTAGGATGTGCAAGAATTTAGATTGTTTTCAGGCATCCGTGCAAGACCTGGCGTACAAATAGTTTCAGGTCGCACCAGATTTTCAAAGAGAATTACCTGAACCATACATGGCCTTAACCAACTAAAATATGGATCATTTAAACATGGTCAAGCCCTGACCTATTATGAACTCACAACAAATTATTAAAGCAGGAGAAGTAATTCCTAACTTATCTCTTCTCCACTCTACTCCAATAGAAATAATTCATCACTTCAGGGACTTTCAAAAGGCAATATATTTGGTTACTAACTATTCAATTGCCAGCCAAAAATAAAAAGAAAAAAATCCCAATTATCCTTACTACCTTCAAATTAGTCAAAAGAACCTTGATTAATTCCCATGCGGTTCTGATGTTGTCAGCATTTCCTTCAGTTTTCCCCTCAATTAGGTTTCGTAGAGATTTCGTTAGAAGTATGCTCGAGATAATATTTCTCTTATGTTTCAAAGAAAATTCCAGAGTCGTAATTTCAAGGTTTCTTTGATGTTCTTGGCATCGAGATGAAATAACTTATAGCTATTATCCATTTGACTTTTTTACTTTGTGATCTTTGGTTACATCTTGATAAACATTGTGTAACATATGTAGGAAACTGAATGGGAATATAGAATTATTCAAGGATTATGCCCACTACCTAGCTTTGCTTTTTCTTATAATTCTTAGCATCAGAAGTTTGAAGTATGCTTATTTATTGGTGATCCTGAAACTATACGCTGTGATCCTTATCCATGCTGTATAAAGAATATATTCTGACAGACACAAAGTTTCAAGAAAGAAACTGATAGTAAAAATAAGAACAAGTGCCAACCTTTTTGGACTCTGCTCATTAATTATATCAGATGCTATTTCTGAAACATACTGTTCCCAGTCCAAGGGCGGGATTCCCTGATCAACAGTGAATGGATATCTGAAAACAAATTAGAATCCTTAATAATAAAGCATAGATTCAAATGCATTAAGTCACAAGAGTCTTATTGAATCATATGTTGTGCATATGAGGCGTGTTTTGTGTTTAAGGAGGGGAGGGTGGTGGTGGTTCCATGTCCACCTCACATGGGTCTGTGCACAAGATAGCACATCTGTACTGTGTAATGCCCGTGTATACTTTGTGTAACTCTTATGTATTGAGGTACTAGAATATCTATGTGCTTGTGTAGTTGTTCAGATGCATATGCGCACATCCATGCACACTTGTCTTTGTAGTGAGGATTTGCGCTGTGTGCGCATGTAACTAGATAATTGAAAGTTATGACATAATGGGCTTACTGCTGCACTTTACAGGTCTCAAAAGCTAATACTGCTCTTCTCAAACTACGGTTTGAATGATTTGCAATACGAGCTGCAAATCCAGCAGGCAGCTGTAGACCTTCTTTCTTGCCAATAAACTCCAAAACTTTAACAATCTGATGCAATACAAAGATTTCAAATTTTAGTTTAAGATCATATATAATAGAAGCAATTGAAGAAGTTATATAAAAGACAGTTTCATTTGAAAAGAGATCCTAGCATAGGAGGATTGAACCACCTTGTAAAAAGTGAAAATCTGGGACTGGCCACTGGTATACAATTCTTTTTTTTAAATTAAGGACGGAATACTCCAATTATCATAAGCATTTACAAAGTTTTGATCTAAATTCTTGTTACGATATAAAGCAGCTTAATGAAAAGGACCATGTGTGGCATTTACATTTTACAGTCTATCCAATATATCCTCTTGACTGTAAAAATGATTTAAGTTAAAACATCAGTGGATAAATTGAAAAACCAACAGTAAACTCACGCGACCTGCACCTGCTAGAAGATAGTGAAATGTTAACACTTTATTTACAATCCCACAAGAAAATTAACAAAAGAAGATATAAACGATCAGTATTTAAAAGACTTCCAACTTGGAGTCAAGTTGCACTCACAATAAGTTAAGCAAATTGATACCACCTGAACTTGTACGAGAAATATGAGGTAAATTAAAAAGATTGCAAGGATATCATTTAATGTAGAAGATGCATCTAAAAAGAAAACTGATGATCAAATGTTACAAGCTAAATAAGCTAACAAAGATTTGGACAAAACAGTGCTTAACAAATACAAGATCTTTTTAAAAAAGGTATGAAAAAGGTCAATTTCAAGCACAAGATTACGCATGTCAGGAAAATAAAGAAGGAAGAGAATCACTCTCCTGTATACTCACAATCTAGTGGACCAGGAAATTTAACAGTAGAGAAATTGAATAACGGTAATCCAAGAAAACAACATGAAAAGGAAAAATGAAATGTTAATGAAATAGTTGCAACACC